CAAATAACAATCCAGCAGCTGAAGGATTTGCGAAGCAACTATCAGAGCTTCAAACTATGTTGAAGCTTCAATTACAATCCGCTCAAGAATCCTATAAGACGTCTGCAGATAGATTTCAGAATCCAGCACTTACTTTCAAAGTTGGAGAGAAAGCTTGGCTTCTTCGACGAAATATCAAGACCAAGCGACCATGTGATAAGTTGGACTATCGAAGATTAGGACCATTTATCATCCAGAAGCAAATTAATCTAGTGGCATACTGGCTGGAGTTACCGGCTTCTATGAAGGTACATCCAGTCTTTCATATTTCTCTGTTGGAACCTTATCGAGAGTCATCTTTTCCTGGAAGAGTGCAATGTCCGCCACCTAGTATTGAAATCGAGAACCACGAAGAATACGAGGTTGAAAAGGTATTGGATTTATGGCGAAGGTGGGGAAAGTTAGAATATCTTGTTCATTGGTGCGACTATGACATTAATGAGCGAACGTGGGAGCCAGCTGAAAATCTTGTGAATGCGCCACAAAAGGTACAGGAGTTTCATCAACGACATCCCGATAAACCTAAATCAATTCGATGATAGCTTCTTTTTGAAGCTTGTTCTTCCAACAATATAAGAAAAGGGGAGAGCACCAGCAAAATTCATAGTTGATGTAGTTATTTTCTCTAAGATAGATCGTAGTTTGGTCTTTTGATATGGATAGCCAAGAGATAGATACTATGCCAATCAGAGTATCGCAACTGAGTAGCTCACGAAGGCGACCCCGAGATGAAGAACTACATGTACCACGATGACGACGGAGGATACCGAGTAACCGATCACTGGTGATCATATATGAGATCGAGCCTGCTTACGATGGTCAACCAGAAGGCGTGTTTGCAGGACAATTTCACAATGAGGACACGAAAGTTCATGCTTGGTCAGAAGTCGAAGGCGTGGGCCACTACCGTTGGCTTCAAGGGTCGATGAACCACTTGCCTCTTGAACAACAGTTGGAGTTCATAGCAGAAGTTATGCGACAGATCTTCATTTTCTTGCATTGGTACTGATCAACAACATTGCTTCTCAGAGACCTCGAAGCTAAAGGAGGGGGTGATGTTAGGGACATATTCCTTAGAACTTTCTAGAGAGAAGTTTCTAGAACCTTCTAGAAAAGAAGCCTCTGGAACCTTCTAGAAGCTTCCTAGTTAATAGAAGTAGCTCGAGAAGCTTCCTAAGTAGGAGTATATATAGGGATCGAGGCTGAAGAGTTCTTCAGTCTCGACAATACATCTCTTGGAGTTCTAGCTCACCTTTCTGGTGTTGTTCTTATACTCATCTGTTTAATCTAGTTCTGCCACTTCTTCTTGAACTTCTTGTTAGATTTCAAGTCTGTATTTTATGTCCGTGACAGATATCGTCAATTTGATAACTCCGATCCTTATCAAATTTTTTGTAATTGCTTTTAACTTATTTATTTAGAAATTTGCAAAATTTTAGTTAAGATCAACGGTTTATTCATTAGTTATTGAGGTTTAAATCTGTTAAGAATTAAGAATTAAGAATTATTAGAGTTTGATTTAGGATTTGGTTAGGATTTGGTTTGGGGTTTAGGATTTGGATTAGGGTTTGATTTAGGATTTAGGGTTTGGTTTAGGGTTTAGGAGTTGGTTTAGGGTTTAAGATTTGGATTAGGGTTTTTTTTAGGATTTAGGATTTAGATTAGGATTTGGTTAGGAATTAAGGTTTGATTAGGGTTTGGTTTAGGGTTTAGAATTTGGATTAGGATTTGGTTTAGGATTTAGGATTTAGGGTTTGGATTAGGGTTTGATTAGGGATTAAGGTTTGATTAGGATTTGATTTAAGATTTAGGATTTATCTAAGATTTAATTAAAGTTAGATTAGGATTAAGATTTGGTTAGTATTTAAGGTTTTATTAGATTTTTGTTAAGGTTTGACTAAGTTTTCATTAATATTCTTTTATATTTCTTTAGGATTTCCTTGTGTTTCTTTTATAACTTCAATAAAATTTAATTGATCTTGCTTAATGTTTGATTATGATTGTTAATGTTTAATTGTAAATTCTCTATAATCCTATTGGATTGTTAGGACATTTTATTGTAATTTTCTTTTACTTTCCACAGCTAGGTGCTCGGTGCATTCTCAAGCAAGACTTCACGTAATACGACACCGTACTCCTCATTTTATGATTGTGTTGCTTCTTTAAAAAATATTGAACAATGTACTTAGTTTCTCCACAATATAAGGACAATCTTTCTTGATGACGATAAGTCTTTTCTTGTTCAGTAAGAGGTTTGAAATGTACCGCATCAATTTGCATATCTTCTACTTTTGAATTTATGTGTTGAAGAGATGTTGGTATTGCCATTGAATTATAGTAATGTTGAGGTCCACTTGTACGGTTCTCAGATCAAAATTCAAAAAGGCGATTGTCATACTTCATAGCAAAATCAATTACTTGATTCAATGTTTGAAGATCAGGTAAGTTGAGCATTAATTTTTTTACCTCATATTGTAATCCGTAGAAAAATTGGCTAATAAATGTAGCATCATCCTACTTGATATCTATTGCAAGTTGTCAAAATTGTGAAGCATACAACATTATTGATCGATTGCCTTGTCACAAAATATGGATCTTATTGGTTGCCATCCGAATTCCATTATGTTTTCCATACACGGATCAAAACTTCACTAAAAAAGCCTCTAGATTATCCAATAATAGATCTTGTCGTTCAAGAAAAGATGAAAATCATGATAATGCTAAATCTGAAAGAAGCATACCAATGAATCTAACTTGTGATCCTAGAGTTGGATAGCTTTGTGGTTGAAGTTCAATCATAAGTTGTACTTGATTGATAAATCCTCTAAACTTTGACCTAGTGCCATCAAACTTCTCGGATAGGGCAATTCTTGGTTTTCTAACACTGGATGGGCGTTTCACCACAAGAAAAGGGACAAGATTTGGTACAGATGTTGAAGCAGCTCCAATGATTTTTATATCTTCACTTCTTGCCAATCTTATTACTCCTTGTAGTGGTAAATTGAGTTGATGCATTGCAAGCATTAATTCCTTCAATTGTACTTGCATTTGTGCCATTGCACTCTTCATTTCAACAAGTTTTGCCATGATAACACTTAAAAAAGAGAAGATGTCTAATATCGCTCGAGACAAAAAGAAGAGAGGACTTGAGAACAAAGAAAATACTAAGGACAATATCAATTTAAAAGAAGGTAATCCACAACTTCTAATATGCTTATGTCTTATTAAGACAAAGGAGCAATCCACTCTTAATCAAGATTAGACAAAGCTCTAATATTGTAAGTATACTCTTATCAATCTGACAATGACAAGAATATGGTAAAAAAAAAATAAACAAGTGAAACTTCTTTCAAAGAAAGATGACAAAATAGAAATAACCTGATATGTATATTAAGAAAGAAACTAGAATGGCTATTGCCAAAAGCCAAGAAAACTAGAGACCCTTGAAACTAGATTGGAAGCAAGAAAGGAGTTGACAAGAGTGAAGAAGGCTTCATTCTTGTCTCTATGTATACTATCTAACTAAGGGCTACGTGGCGATGTTCTATAGGACCTTCAATATGTATTGACTTTGTAGGATATATGCCTTGACTTACAAGGCAAGTTTTTCTACGTGTGGGCCATATAGTTAGCTTGGTCTTCAAGCTAACAACATGTGTGACACATGGCTAACTTGTTGACTACGTTTTTAATCCAAAAAGTCAATTAAAGACATCTATAAAGTCAAAGCAACATCTATAAAGCTTCTAGGAAGCTTTCATAGCAAATATTATAGAATTAATTTACTTTTACATACTTTTTCTTACTTCTACTTGTTTATACATGTAATTACTAGCTTACATGTGTATGTCCATGATAAAAAGTCTAGGTATTCCAATTTTATAGAGATTTTTATTTGATGTTAGAGGTTATAAATTACCTACTTCTAAATTTACTATTAAGTTTATTATTATTGCCTATTTTAAATCCAAATCAACTTTAATAGAAGTAGAAAAAAAAATGATGCTTTGCTTGAAAGAAGAACACATCTATAAGTATTGTACATCTTTACAAGTTTTCAAATGCACTTTAAGCAAAAAATTATAGATTTGTAGTTTCAACTATAGAAGAACTATTGATATGCCTATTAATTTTTTAAAAATAAGGTTTAACTTCTATGTTAAAAAGTTGAGCTATTGAAAGAATCAAGTACATGTAAACCAACTTCACAAGTTAATTCTAAAAGACTTGCTACTCCAAGTATAAAAAAGCCAATGTTCATGAGTACATTATAAATTTTACTTTCAAAATATTCTTTTTTAAAATTAATTTCAACAAATTGTACTTCAATATGATTTCAATATATGTTTATATATATATATATATATATATATATATATATATTCAATTTGATTTATTTTATTTTTATCTTTATATATATATATATATATATATAGTTAATAATACAATTTGCAGTATTGAAGTACAAAGTTACATGTGTTAATCTATCATTGTTCTATGAAAGCAAATCTTGCTGACCATATAACAACCCTAAACCCTATAACTGATTTGTATTAAGAAGCCCTTTTTGCATTGCAATGCTTTAAATATGAGATTTTTCGGAATATACAGGATTGATATGCAATGCTACTTAAATCAAGTATTCTTCCATTTTGACAAGTCACATTCCCAAGACTGAAGAAGTGGAGAAAATGAAGCACAGGCGAAGAGGACCTCGATTGCACTGAGCATGGGAAGGTGTGAAACGGTGATGAGAATACGAGGAAGTGGAGAACAGGGGAATGGGGAGAATAGAGATGAATCAGCAGCAGCGCTGTGGGATTGGATTGATGAGGCGTTCCGTCCGGTCCTGATCCCCGGCTACGGGGCCTCGTATTACAATGTGATGCTGCTGATGCTGATGACGATGATGCGCTAAGCCGGTCCCGGCCCGCGGAGGAGGACGGAGGGGCGAGTGAGTGAGTGCCTCAGGCAGCAACCCCACAACCCAAGGGCAGGGCAGGGTCCTCACACGCTCTCTTCTGTTTCCTTTCCCTTCCCTTCCCTTCCCTGGTGTTCCAACGCTGTGCTGTGCTGCGAGGCACTCCGCCTGCTCTGCCTTTGCCCCCTCATCGTCACCAGTAACCCCACAACCCACCCCCCATCTGCCTCTCTCGCTTTGTGGGTGTGTGTGGGTGTGTGTCTCTCTCTCTCTATTTGGCTCTCAAACCCTGCCCCTCCCTCCCTCCCTTCTCTTCCCACCCACCTTGCGCTCTTATCTATTACCCCTCTTGCACTCTCTCTCACTCCCTTGCTCCTCTTTCCTCTCCCCCCCCCCCCCCTTCCCCCGCTATCCCCACTCACTCACTCACTCACTCACTCTCTAGATCCTCTCCTCTTTCTTTGCGGTTACCCTCCCCTCCTCTTTTTATACTTTCTTGTGGATGTCCCACAGCTAGACCTGTCCCTGTACCTGCTAATCCTCTTCAAATGCGACTCCATCGGACGCTGATACATTTTTGTAGAGTTCAGAGCTGTTTTCTTCAATGTAGAAATTAGGACATTTTGTATAGAGTGTGTGATCTTGCAGTATCAGCTCCGCAGATTAAGTTTAGGAGTGCAAAACTTTGTATCTGTAGAGATGAATGGTGCGGTAGAATGCAAGACGTGTGGTTCAAAGGCCAGGCCGGTTTCTGTTGCGTATGATCGACAGCGCAGCAGTAAACAATCAAGGTGGAGAGCGCTCAATGTCCTCCTTGTCATGGGAGACTGCACTCTTATTGGCCTTCAGGTACCTTCATAGATCTACTTCACACACTTGAATGCCAGGGTGAGAACACCGGTATGAGATCCTGAGCTATACTTTTGTCACAATTCGCGACTAAGCTAATACTTGGCAGATACCTACTTTTTGTTGAGAGTTTTTCTTTCTATGCTGTAGTAATGGGTTTGTAGTTAGTTCCTTGACAAGGTCAGTAGCTTAGTGGACGATGACGGCATGCAATCCGATCCACAATTATCTCCGGCGAGGCTCAATTCTGCTGAACTTGACCAGTGTAAAGTTCTGGTTCTACAGTACTTTGAGCAAAGACCTTTTATCATTTATGTCCGAAATATTTAATTCCCCCAAAAATGAGGTCCAGATGCCGTGAAATTTTTCTAGGGATGTATTCATCTCTTACGTAGATTCGAGCTTTTAACGCCAAAGCGAAGTAGTGCCTCTCTAATTTTTACTTCTTGTCGTATTGTAAAATCACGTGATTTACTGGGGATTGGAATCGTTGGCTCAACATGAGTTTGATATGGTGAAATGGGATTCATTGTTCTCATTTTATTAAAGTCAATGCGTCATATTATAAGATAATAACTTGATGCAACTCTTCTTAATTCAGTTTCTCATTTTCATTTTTTCTTTCATTAAGAAGCCACTTGATGCTTGAAACATATTTGGTACAGTTGTCTTCATTTTTGTGTGTTCGAATCAATCTGTTTACTCCAACTCGTTTACAGGGTGATTGCATTGTCATGGGCCTTCTTCCTTATAAACTTTTGGATTTGGTGTTCTGATGTCCAGCCAATATTGGTCTACATATCGAAAGTGGATGGAAAGTTTCTCTTCAGTCCAGTGAGTGTGAACTTTCTTACAGAGCTTATGAAGGTGGTGTTCGCCATCGGCATGATATTATGGCAGGTGAGTGGCCTGTTAGGCATGCAATATCCTTCACGTGAAACCTACTGTTATTTGAGACAGTAACTGCACTAGTAAATTGTTTGTTACGAATGTGCGTTGCATGGTTAATCGTACAATTAGATCTGTCGCGAATAATGGTTGCATCATGCCCGAAAGGTGATATTTCTGTGCAAATTCCATCTCAGCAGAGCATCGTACTTGATTGACACTTCCACAGCTATTGTCATAAGTTAACTTCAAAAAAATTCACTGGATTTGCAGGCTCGTCGACAACGACCAGGAGAAAGATCATTGCTTTCTCCAAGCGTCATCTTAACAGTTTGTTTTTTCTCTTCAAGTCAAACATAGAATGAGCACAGATTCTGCACAAATTTTAGGTTAACAATTGCATGGAGGAAGTCGTCATACCTTTACACTAGCTCTTTCAGTTTTCATTTTCCCACATTTGTCTCATAGCTTTAGTTAGGTAGTTCATGTGTGTTTTGCAACGTGAAATGTCTTGAATCGCTTGACCGAGCGTTTCACTGAAAGTAGTTTTTTCTTCTCGGAGGGGAGGAAAACCTTACGGTTATTACATGTTATGATCGTTCAGCATTTTAACGTGCGGGGCCTCACTGTCAGTGTGGGAATTTTTTTGAGATGTGGGATAATATGCCTGTGGGTGCAGGCTGCAAGGAAAAACTATCTCCTAGCTGTACCCGCATGTTTGTATGCCATTAACAATTATTTGAAGTTCATCATGCAGGTTCATCTCTCTTCCTGCATCAAATATCTAGAACTTGGCAAAGCTGTTGGCATGTCTTATGAGATGAATCTCTAGCTGGTCAATCTTTTTCCGCTTTTCAGTTAATCATTAAGAGCTGAAATGTGACGTTGATGCCGCGGTTCACTTTGGATTGTGTAGCTATACTTTAACCCTGCAACCGTGAAGATGTTAAGTAATTTAAAGGTGAGCACTATCTGTGTGGCTACTATCTGTAAGGTGATTGGAGCATTTGATTCAGTTCACAAACTTTATCTAACTGATGTACTTATTCTACTTCTCACGGCTGAAATCTTATTGCATTTAAGTAAGCATACATTGCACCGGGTTTCACATTATACGTTCCAACACATGAGAGTTTCTGATTTGTGCTATAGCTGTATCTGAGGGTGTGTTTTGTTTCTCAGGTTTTGGTAATCGCGCTTCTGCTGAAGGCAATCATGAAGCGCCGCTTCTCTATCATGCAGGCTGGTTCCTCAATGCTGTCTCTCGATTCTGAGATTATTGACTTCTTATTCAGTTTGAACGTGATGGTATATTGATTTATAGGAATCGTCAAAAGGGTTGATCTTCTAATTCTTTGAGTTATGTGATGCAGTGGGAAGCTCTTACACTACTACTTATAGGCATTAGTGTGAATCAACTTCATACAACTCAGGAAGGCACTACTGCTCTTGCTGTTCCAATCGCATCAGTAGCTTACTTTTATACTCTCGTTTTTGTGAGTACAATGTCTTCAAGCTTTTTTGTTTTGCATAGCATAAGCTGGACCGTTGCTCCTAATGAACATTGTCTATCTATTTGTTTGTATTAATTTGGGTTTTTATTTCAGGTTCTTTCTCCTTTCTACAACCCCCCCCCCCCCGTTTTTTCTTCTTGTTCCGGTTATGTTGTTATCTCATTCGTTTAAGATGCGCTACATGGCATTGTAATGCTTGCCAGGGAAAGTACTGTTAACTTACAAGCAGGAGTGTGATGTGAGCGCTATCTGATTAGTGTACATGTACGCAGAGAGAATTCGGATTCTTTTATATCCTGCACTTTTGATTTATTGGTACTTGTTTCTTGGTAATTCTTCTTGCATTACTTATATTTACAGGTGACAGTCCCCTCATTGGCGTCTGTCTACAATGAATACGCTCTCAAAAGTCAGTTTGATACTAGTGTTCACCTGCAGGTTCGGTCTGAAATTCCGTACTCTCTGGAAGCTGCTGTATATGCGTATCATTTTATGTTACATTAAGATACTCTCACTGTGTACTTTGGCATGTTTACTAATCGAGTTTTTAATTTGCAGAATTTTTTCTTGTATGCATATGGAGCAATATTCAACTTTATTGCAATGCTGGCGTCTACAATCTACCAAGGTCTGATTTTTAAATTTGCATTTTCCTCTTTGTTTTACTATCTTATGATATTGGGTACTGTCTGTGTTTTTTATGATGAAGATGACTTGACCTTAGCCGGAAAGGGTTGTTTAAATATTTGAAGTTGGTACTGAAAAGTTTGCGGTTTACATGCCGTAGGAGCTGGGGCAGGTGGCACAGGGTTCAATATTTTGGAGGGACACTCGAAGGCTACGATGTTTTTGATAGTTAATAATGCAGCTCAAGGAATCCTTTCTTCGTTTTTTTACAAATATGCTGGTAAGTCACATTCTTGTAGGTCTCTTCCACTGACCGACCTAGAGTTGAGTTGGAATTGAGGTAAGTGATTTCGTTTTCATGAAAGTACCTGATTGGATGTGTACAAGCGATTGAGGGGCACCATTATTTCATGATACGCTATAATTTTCGCGAGTGCGATCAAAAGAAAATTTATACCCCGCATAATTGATACTTACATGAGATACGGACGTTGAGCACAAAATGATTTAGGTCAGAAAAGATGACTTTAAGTGCTCTTTACCATACAGTGTATTCGAATCGACATTATTTGTACATTCACCCTAGGATATTTCATTGATGCCTAGGAAACGGCATGTGTGGAGCTTTATTTATGAATTTCCTTTCGTGCTTCAATTTATCAAATAATCATCTGCTTGTGCACATTTTCAATAATCCAGAAGTAATAAATCTTTGTCATGCATTCAATGAGGACAGTAACTTGGAATTAATGATTTTTCTTGGGGAGATAAAAGTTTTTTATTTACTTGTACAGACACAATTTTGAAGAAGTATTCTTCAACGGTTGCTACTATTTTTACGGGACTTGCTTCGGCTGCACTATTTGGGCATGCGCTTACCATAAATTTTGTTCTCGGGGTCACTATCGTTTTTATTTCCATGCATCAGGTTTGGTTAACGTTCTCAGAAACTATTGATGCTCTTGTGGAAGTAATTTCAGGGAGTGCAGCAAGCCTTTCGAAGCGTCTGCAGGATCTTCTTCTTGCTGTCATCGAAACTTTAGGCTTGCTGATACTATCAGGTACTTCGGGTTTTCTGCCAGTACTGAAGTGGTTAAACTTTCTGCGGCATTTTATTGCAGTTTTTTTCTTCTGTTTCAAAGCCTCAAGTGGAAGAGACGAATTACTTGCATTTGGAGCCGATGGGACGAAACCTTGAGTAATCCGTCTATTCTCATTCCATTTTTTCTTGTAAATTGTTTGCCCTCATTTCTCGTGTACTTCTGAAGAGTAGTGTCTGCCTCAGCGCACGACTGCCTTTAGTGATTTGGTTAAAATATTGAGCTCTGACCATGTTCTTTCTCTGAACAGCAAGAAAGATTCGTCATTGGATGATTTGGCCTCTGTTGCGCATCAGGAAGTAAGTTCTTGTATCCGACCCTTACTTGAAACGTCCTATTGGTGTCTTTTTACCTGTTCAGTTGTGTAACGTGCATGTGGCATTTTTGTATTGATGTGACAACTTGGAACCGTTTGTTTGAATATGGAGAACCACCTCTCTATAGGTATGAGTTCATGATTTTCTCTGATGGAACCTGTGCTGGATACACTTATGATTTTTCAGGGTATTGTCATAGGCTTGTGTGTTGACACATGTAGTCGTCTGCAGTTCTGTGTCCACTTATGAGGGTGAACAAGCGCAAATTTATATTTTAGGTTTTGATTCGCATTATTCTAATTTTAAATTGTAAAAAACCTTTGCAGGGAAGTCATACAATATCTGTTAGGACGGAGAGAGAGCCTCATCTTCCCAAGTAATGGATGTTTGTGTTAGAAATTATTTTCTCTATTTGAGCTCTCAGCAGATGTAAGAGTACAAAAAACATCATTTCACTAGCTACGAACATTCATTGCGTACAAATGGGTGTGCACTCATTTGCCACCATGCTGACTTGTTATGTGTACAACAATCCAATGGTTCCTGTGGTGATGAGCTGCACCAGAATTATGCTGGGGGCTTGCATTTTTCTGTAAATTCAACTTGAAACCTCAAAAATTGGCACTGGTAGGTCCTTCAATCAGATTTAGAAACATAGTTGTTTTGTAGGGTAGCCATTCGGCAACAGATTGCAGTTGTGAAAAGACGCATGTCCCAGAGCTTGGCTCAAGAAAATCTTTTCTGGATTCACTGATCCTTGCGTTTGTTAGCTCTGGAATTCATTCCTGGTTGTCTTTTCATACATCAATTATCCCAGGTCGGCATGCAATGCTTTCACTCGTACTGCGTTTGGAAGTTACCTTGTTCTAGTTCTCCCGGAGTTGCAAGCCCGTATGGTTTGACATTGAATTTGGCAAATCTTGATACTTGCTAAAGGATTCTTCACTATATTTCAGTGGTCTAGTTTACTTGTACAATGTTGTACTTTAAAATTGCACATGTAATGTTGTTGCGACAGTTTACCAGTCCGTGGTTATAAATTTACCAGAACAATCCACACTTTCAGTGAATCCGCGTATTGATTAGTTTGGTAACGGAAAACGGTCTATACGCAAATGAAATTATCTAATCATCTACATGCACCAAATGTAATGATAGTGAAAGTATTGTCTTTTGTGTGTATATATCTGAATCGAACATTAAATTATTGATGGACAATTGCGCGAAGCTTTGGAGAAATGCAGAAAACGTTTCGGGAAAGAGTTCAACCCTAGCGAGTATCATGCCCAATTTATAAGCGAAATGGAGGGGATTGGCCCTGTTGTTCATCTGCGTCGCAACAAAGGAGAAAGCTGGCAGATCGTCAATGGGATGGAGAAATGTTCAGAGTAAGGGATGAAGAAATTTGGGTGGGTGGGTGGGTGGGTGGTTGGGTGGAAAAGGAGAAGTAACTAATTGCGCACATTGGGAGGGAGGGCAATGATTGGGAAGAAGGGCAGAGGAGGCCAGAATCTACTACGAACAGGAGGAGCGAGCTCTCATTCCTGTTAGGACAGATAACTAGAACGGCGGAACCAAAATCAGAGGAAAGCGAGAGATGATGGAAGTGGAGGAAGAGGACGGGGGAAATGCAAAGGGAGGGGAAGGAGGGACTGACTCAGCCCCGCGGGGGTCGGTTTAGGGTGGAGCACACTCACTCACTCACTCACAGACTGACTGCGTGGGGTTTTCAGGCAGGCAGGCAGCGCGGACGGGAAAGGGAAAGGAAATGAAGGGATGGAAGGGAAGGGGGATGATGATGATGATGCCTGAGAATAATAATAGTAATAATAAATTGTATAATTACCAGCTTAGCAATTAATTATTACCCCTTTCTCTCCCACCCCTCCCCCTCTGCCCTTCCTCTGCCCCACTCAGTCTCATACTCTCTACATCTGCTCTCTCTCGCTCTCTTATTCTTATTCTAACAGAGTTCTCCCTTTTATCGCTCGCAGTAGTAGGCTATTGTTCCCAACTCCACCGTCTTCTTTCAATTGCCCCTGCTTGTCTTCCCTTTTTTCTTTCTCCCCCTTCAGCTCCCCCTTCTCGCTACGGCCTTGCCTTTTTTTGTTGTTGTTACGTCCGTGGTAGATCTGCACTTGCTTTGACTAGATCGCTCTCGTTCTTGCTCTTCAACGACCACCATGAATCCCGAGTAGTGAGAACAACTTTTCTTTTCTCTTTCCTGTGTTGTTCCTTGCTTGCCGGTTTCCAGTGTTTCCATTTCCTGTTGCGTATGACGGGTGTTTGCATGTGCATGATTATGTCCATTTTTTTGCCTCGTAACTCTCGGCTTTTTTGAGCCATAGTTTGCTGTTCAAACTGTCGCCCTGGGAAGGAGGCTCTCTGGTAGACGGTCTTTCAACCCTTGGAGCGTTGTAGTCGTAGATCGCCCTTGCTGCACTTGACTCGGATCTCCAGTTGCGTCGATATGGTTTCCAGCTTTGTCACCTCGCAATCCTTTCTGACCAAGTCATATATTGTGTCTGTTTTATTTCCTGAGGCTGTTGTTTGCGTCGGTACTCTTGTCCGCTTGGAGCCTTGGCTGTGATGGCTTAGAAGGAGTCTCTTTAATATACGCAATTTTCAGTCTTGGCAGTTCTTTTTTCTATTTTCTTTATTTTTTTAATTTTTAAAGCTTAATTATTCCATTCGTAGTTGTAGATCGCTGGTAGTGTGCATGGACTCACTTTGAGATGTATGTTATGATTCTTGGTTATTTTCACCTTCAATCCCATGTGATAGACGTCTGAGATGTCTGGTTTAGCAAGAAGATGTCTGGAGTGTTTTACAACCTGGAAACGAGGCATTTGTGACTCTCTGAGTCAATGAGCGATCCAGTTTGAGAAGTACGTTTCAGCTTCTTGATTTTATTCTCTGTAATTTCTTGTATAGTTTGGATGTTCTTCGGGCAGGTTATGATCTTTAGGAGGACACCACATTTTGAGGCATTTACAGGAGATACTACAGGATTAGGTCTGTCGCGGCGAATTCGGTTATGGGAAATGAACATTTTCTTCGCATGATTCCCTCAATTCTACATGGGTTTCGGTATTTTGATATTTTTTGGTGGATTTGGACACAAGTTTACGTCAGTTCGTCTCACTTTAGATTTTTAATAACGCTTTCAGTTTGATTCTGTGACTGGATTGTAATGCAACTCATATCGTTTGATTGGTCGATGTTTGTCAATTTTCCTAGATTCACGTGTTGTTCCACGAAAACATAAATCAAAACTCCCGCAATCGCTGCTGCGCGAAGCAATTCCATAGGAATTGCAAAGTTCGGTGTTTTTTTAACATTCTATAATTTACGTGCTAGCGTGGTGTAGTCACCTGGTCGAAGGTGATCGAAGGTTGGCTAGGACATCGACATTGATTTCTTGGCTTCGTGGGCATTCTCTTAGACTAGTTTTTAGAACAACTGGACGTTCTTATTTAAAGCTCGAATCGGATTTTCTGTCATTGTTCGTAAGTGGTGATAACTGAAGCGCAATACGGATTTGTCAATCCACAAACAATCTACTAAAACAATCCGAATTTTAGATTTCGGCTCATAGTGTTCGATAATTGTTCTTTGCATGAAGGGTGTGAGTGTAGTTCACAGCTTCTACTATCTGTTCCTGAAATTTGACAAGGGCTGTCATTCTCGATCTGAGGCGCGTCTAAATCGAATCCCTCTTTCTGCAGTGACTACCTGTTTAAGCTCCTTTTGATTGGCGACTCAGGCGTCGGGAAGAGTTGTCTTCTTTTGCGATTCGCGGTATGTCTGTTTGTTTGTTTGTTTGTCTGTATTCATTTCTTTGATTTTTATTGACAGGAGTACTTTTTCCAACGTTGCTGTACTGGTCTTGATTCTGCAATCTGTTTGAAGTCTTGTACTTGGGTTTGCATACCAGCCTTCTAAGAGCAGTGCAGGTGGAATAATTCAGCTTCTGATTTATACCTAGGATAATATTGTTGTGCGTGCAGGACGACTCATACTTGGAGAGCTACATCAGCACAATCGGAGTTGATTTCGTGAGCACACTCGCAATCTTCGTGTTTGATAGTTTTGTTTGTTAATGTCACAAAACGTTCAACAGCTGAATCAGAGATACTTGGATACACGGTCTTTATGCTCTGTAAATAATCAAGATATGATGAGGAAAGGCAGTATGAAATAGATTTATAAACTTCTACTGCCACTAGATGCTACTTTGAAATTCTTCATTGGATTATATTTTACTGGTCAATCTTCAAGTATTTGGCGATGACCATCGTGAGTTTGTATAGATGTAACGCTCAAATTTGAATTAATTATGAACGGCAGAAAATCCGGACAGTGGAGTTGGACGGGAAAACCATTAAGCTACAAATCGTGAGTTTTAAATTCTGGTTTTTTCAGTGTATGAATTGAGATAAAACTGCTGTTTTACATTTCACTTTTTGATAGTCGAAGTCATTGTAAATTATATCGGATTACCAGTGGGCGGGCTCATCAATCTTGTAACTTAGGACCCTTATAGCTGTTCTATTCATTGAAGTTTGTCGTAGTCATATTATTTGGATTGACTTCTAGTCGTTAGCTGCAAATGTTTGAATTTTGAAGTTGGTTTGTCACAATAAGCTATTCCTTCAAGAATCACAAAATTATGATGATTGTTCCACCTTTTGTTGCTAGTTATCATGAGTTGGCAGAGTGGCTCTGTTGAGATTACTTCGTGGTTGGTGTGGATTCAGTGGGATACCGCTGGTCAAGAAAGATTCAGGACAATCACGAGCAGCTATTACCGTGGTGCCCATGGGATAATTGTAAGTGGATTTTTGCATTACTGTTGAGGAAAATTTCTGTTAATTGATTCCTGTTACGTAGGCTTGTGTAACTTGTGATTAGGTTGAATTTTTAATGTCTTGGAATATGAGTGTCTTCGTTGTTTTCTTGCAGATTGTGTACGATGTTACGGATCAGGAAAGTTTTAACAATGTAAAGCAATGGTTGAATGAAATCGATCGTTATGCAAGTGAGAACGTGAATAAGCTGCTTGTGGGCAACAAGTCCGATCTTGCATCCAAGAAGGTGGTGGACTACGCAACTGCGAAGGTACACGAATGATGCTATCCACTTTGATAAGATCAAGGGAAGGTCGAAATGTTATCTTTCTTAAGTTCATATCGTGTAGTAAGAACAGAATAATTCCTTTTATCTGGTGCTGCGCCTCGGTTTCTCGGCTTTTATCATTTATTTGTTCATTTATTTCAGTCTTGGCTATAGTTATTCGACTTCATATATTTCACGCGGGTGTGGAAAACCCCTTACCACTTTATCTATCTTCCATGGAGCAGGCTTTTGCTGATGAGATTGGAATTCCCTTCTTGGAAACTAGCGCCAAGAATGCGACTAACGTGGAGCAGGCTTTTATGACAATGGCTGCCGAGATTAAAAATAGGTGAGAATCAATTGAAGTTCTTTGACCTTATCATTGCTTCAGATCGGGAACCAAAAACAAATTCTTAACATTCTTCGTCTGTGAGAGTTATTGCATTGCGAATTTGACCTTCTGTTATGTGTCTGCCCTCATCAACGGGGAATACGCTCAAGGAAAACCTTATGATGGTATGATGTCGACCCTGGTTAGATCGAATCTAATGCTCCCTTGGTTTTTGCAGGATGGCAAGTCAACCTGCATTAAGCAGTACGAGCAGGCCAAACAATGTGCAATTGCGTGGACAGACCATCCTTCCGAAAGGGGGTTGTTGCTCTTAGGTCATTTTTCTCTTTGGCGTTGTGTAGGAAATACAGTGCTTTATTATTGGGCATTGTTTATCTGCCTTAGAAGCTAAGCTACTCCATGGCTGTCCCTTAGAGCCTCATGCATGGCCAATTTCTGTCGTGGCGGTAGTTTGTCGTGGAGAATCACGGGTGTTTCTTGTCTGTATAGGAGACAGGAATACTGATTTTTTACTGTATCTTCATTTGCTGGACTAGCTGAAACATTTGGTGTGGGTATTCAGTTGTCTTCCTTGGCAAGGTTGGAATGTTGGGAGAGGATGTATGTAGGTAGACACAGTCATTTCCATATCCCCGACCATGGTAAAGTGGGAACAGCAGGAGGGTGCATTTGCACCTTCTCTTGCTTAAATCAAGCTGATGTCTGCTGTCTGGACAGGAAAAGCTTGCCATTCATCTTGGAGGCAAAAAACATCAATTTAATTGTCATTGAATCACATTAGCTTTTGTCTAGCTAGTAAAATGCACACATCTGCTAGTTTCTTTCATTCTTTTCACTTCGAAGACTTCTCTTCGAAGGTGAGTATTTCTGGGACTTACATGTGACAGAGACAGCACACAACAGCGAACTTACATTTTGAATTTCTGATGTCTTAAAGGTATTTCTTGATTTTCGATGAACGGATTTGTCATGGTTTTGTTCTATTGATTCCTTGCTATAAAGTCGAGGTTTTTGACCATCACCGTCGGCCAAAGTAGTTTTCCTTCGAGGACTGATATTTAAGCATTTATTGCTTCTCGTTTACAACTTGCTGATGAACCCCCTGATTAGCGTACAATCGTTAACGCTAAAAAGCCGAACTTATTAACGAAAGCGAATATTCACTCAACATGATTTAGAGGATTAGATGTGCTGTTCAATGTTTATGAGGATCAGAAGTGCTGTTCAATGTTTGAAATTCCGGGCTTTTGGACAAGGTACATCGGACGGTAAGAAGCAAACCAAAATGGCAGGGCAAGGGAGAAAGATATGCGATCAAACGAAATACAAAGCCAAGAACAAAGTCAAGAGTCTCCACACCACCAAGCGAGGGCATTCACAATTTAGGGGTTTATTGCTTCAATCTGTTGTTGCATTCTGTTTTGTGTACGATTAATCTAAATAGTCAGTTTACTTTGCAATGGAATTATTCTCATTGACGAATAATAATTTACTGATATGGGAATAGTTTATGCTCAATACCTTTTATCACTGCAATTGGTAATTTTACTTTGTTAAAAATGTTTACAAAATTATTATTTTTGTTGTGTTTAATTGCAATTGTCATATCTTCTAATTAACATATTTTAATATTGTATTTTGCTTAAAAGAGATCTTTAACTTATCTAAGATTTCATTGTTGACTTACTATGAAAGCTTTTGAAAAGTCACGTTAATAATATTAGTAATTGAATTTCTTGCAATATAAAAAATATGTTAGTCACAACAGTTGTGAATACTACACAAAAATTGAAGAATTGAACACACTGAACTCATATTCATTGACACTTGCAACATCTTTGATTTGCTCATAATCACCACACATACACTTGGTTGTTTCTTTCAAACACACTAATTAATTTGAACATATACACTTCCGATTGCTATTTCTTTTGCACATACTAGTTTATGTTAATCATCTAAAATAATCAAACACACACTTTGGTATTGAGTTGTTGCCAAATGTGATTAGAAATAGAAAACAATCTTCACTATATTAGTTACTAAATGCCAAAGCATGTGCCTTGGCTAGCACTCGACTGGTTCATAAACTCACTCTAACTTACATCAAGAACATCAAAATAATGTGGACTCATATTGTTGAAGTCCAGTTCTGAAAAATTTGAACACAATAAAACAAATTGATTTTTGAATTAGATAAATCGCCTCAGAAAGACGTGCTTCGTTCATTCGTGTACCAAGTGATCTCAATCAACTAAAAACCATCAGACAAGACATTAAAGAACTTTCATTTAAAACAACAGTTAGAAAGTCGCTAAAAAGTTGCATACACTTTCTTGTGCCTTCGACGAGAGTTGTGCCGTGAGCACTACAGCAAATTTGCAGACAACTCGCGATTCAAATAGTCTGCAAACATTCGTTTGGCGCTTTTCGTATCTGATGGTGGAGGAGGTCCTGACAGGCTTGACTGCCCAGCCAATTTGAGGAAGGTTCTACGAAGTCGACGAAGCTCAGGTAGGCCCACACTCCGCTGTAGATTGATGTGTCGCAAAAGGTCAAGGATCCACAAAAGCACAACTTGCAATAAGTAAGCAACATACTTGACACTTTTAAAACTAGATTCCTAGAACTCACAGGTTTAGGGGACCGACCCAACCCTTACAGGACAAAGGTAGAATACATTCAATCAAAGCAAAGGTCGGGAGTCACAGGCAGGTGCTTTGAATAACTTAGTTGCAGGTCTAAACAGATGTAAGTGCATTCAAAGCAGCATTAAAGGATATGATAGGCAGTCCTTCTCCCAGATTAACACTGCGCACTAAACCACCAACACCTTGCGCTTGAGCATCCACCACAATCGACACAATTTCCTGACACATATTTATATAACAAAGCGTTACCCTCACCACATAATAACAAAAAAGCACTGGACTAATTTTAGATAAGGGTAAATAACAATTGTAGGACACCCTGCACTTCACTAAAATTAAACGGGTGAAGTGAAAGAGCAAACATTCAAACCTGTGTAGCCCGATCTAGTTCATAAAGCGAATTAGTCTCCGAGGTTCGTGGCTGCAAAATTGAAATTGAATACAAATCAAGAATAAAAATAAAATTGGAAAAAACTGCCAAACTAGAAAGACAAACGAGGTTTAGGATTCAAGGTAAATTACATTCTGTGTGGCAATTGTGGGTTGCAGCTTTTGAGGGTTCCGACTACCCCCAACATTTTTATTACCAGTAAGAAAGCTGACAGCTTCAACAATAGCTTGAGAGTCTTCGTGAATATCTTCTATTCTCATGTGCAATATATTGACAAAGAGACGAAAAATCAGATGTGAATCAATACAAACTGCCAATTGAGATCATTATCATCACAAGCGTCCCCCAACTTTGGAACAGGGGAGAACCTGCAGTCCGTTATCGTGTTAAATCACACTATTGAATTTCTAACTAATACTGCCCGCTTAATTGAAAAATCTCTCGAACATAAGATACATCTAAAACTTTCAATCTGTTTCAAGCGTATGTAATTTGTCCACTAGCTAGACAGAACCGGTGGGGATGAAAGAGCACAGGTCAGACACATGCTGACTGAAATGGCGAATTTAAGGAGCAACCTTTGCCGAGATGAAGTTCAAAAAGACGAGAATCCCATCGGTTTTTTCCATCGGGTCTTTCGAACCTTCTCACCAAGTCATTAAATCTACAAATCAAGCGCATCCCGTGGTATGATTGTCATGCTGAAGGCAGGAGAAGAAACACGCTACGAAACATGTAGAATTGACTTAACAAAACAACCATCAGAGTAGGAACTGTACCGAAAGCTCACATTTTATCTTCGTAAGCGGGCAACGCCTTTAATCGTCTATCTTCGTTCCATGCTCGGCATTGTGCTTCATCTGCAACACAATGCAACTGGCCAACAAGTACTTAAGAAAGATAGCATGCAGCGCCTGAGCATCTATACGGATTTGGTATGTAGGCTCGACCATCTACGGAACACATAGCGTCAAGATGTGCACAAATAAGATGAGGAATACCACGCAGTAATGCGTCCCAGCTGCACGGGCCAAGCACCACAATTCATATCTGTATCCCTGCACAAATTCAAGCAATTTACAGCCATTTTATTCTTTAGAAATGACCAGTCCTTTTGAGTTCCGGTAAATACGAACGAACATACCCCTGCTGTAAAAATCACTGCCCATTGAAATCGTTGCTGAAATGCGATAATTAGCCTGGAGATATCGAAGGGAAGATGCAATAAGGCCGACATGACAAAATACCTTGATATTGTTAAGGGAGTCTACAATGACAATTGTGTCTATTGACACAGCTCGGTCAACTGCAGACCGCAACATCCCGCGCAGGTTCTTCTCTCGAGGCATATCTGCACCATTCTCAAAAATTAACGGAAGGGCTTGAGGCACAAAATATGTTCAAAGCTAGAAACCCCTAGAAGACGTATTCAAGGTTAGAAATTCTTCCGTATTTCATGGAGTAAACGGCATTTAAAGAATTAGTAGATTGGGAAAGACAAACCTTGATATGCACTATTACGATCCAAATTGAGCGAAGGTTCGTCAATTAGAACTACTGGCATGTTAATAGTCTTCTCAAGTGCTTTCATAAGACATGCTGCAGCAGTTGATTTTCCACTGCATGGTTGTCCGCAGATGATAACAAGCGCCATATTCCTATGCCCCTCGGAAGGAATTGAGTACACAAAAAAAAACTTTCCTACATGCCTTGGAGGAAAACCCTTACAAATCACAATTTGCGACGTAAAATATTCGAAAACAAATGGAAATCTCAAACTTGCATTGAATCATCAGATCGTCTCCGTTCCCTCCACGGATTATAACCCTAGACCCTAGCTCGACCTGCCCACAGTGCCATAATACTGGTTCTCAAAGGTGACGACTGCAATAGCTGATTCTATGATGTTCTGATTGACAGGCATTGAACTTCAAAATTGACAGAAAATGGACCGACAGAATTTAGGCACAACATGCTCCGTGGATAATTGGATACTAAATTACAATTTAACCAAAAATCGCTCACCTAAGCACGTGAAAGTTTCTGCTCTCCAGAACATAGATACCACGAGACACTTCACTGCGATATCCTATTAGACAAAACAGCCCAGCAAAAACTTCGCAAATCTTAGTGTTACTCTGTCGAAAAAATCTAGTATATTGATTTGGTGGGTTTTTTTGTGAGGTGCCACCAAACTCTAAACCTAGTTGCAAAATTTGCTGATAAGTAAGTAACATAAACTCCGATGCAGAAAACTCCCTCGTAACCAGAGAGCATCATCAAGCACAAAGCGTAGGGAAGAGAGGGGATTGTACCCTAATCGAATGAAATATGTGAGACATATGAAGTTCTTCATCCATTCATATACTTGCATGAATGTTTATTGCACATTCTTCGTGGATGATCCGAACCAAAGCCTATCCCTCCTCCTTTTGTGATTCGATTGTGATCTTCTTCAGTTTTTCTGGATCATCCTGTATGTACATGATCAGCTGATTTTGCCCAATATGATCTATAACTTCTGAGAGTGACCAATGTAGAACTATAAAATGGTCACTTGGATATGTTTTAATATCCAAGAATAAAAAATAAAGAAAAAAGAATTTTAGACCAAAGAATTTTTTATTTTGTATTTTTTTATTTTTTCTTGAGTTATTATTAATTTTGTAATATACAATTGCTTCAAAGATTGCATTCAAATAACAAAGGTGGGTTTGTAGTTTTTTAAAATGACATATAGAAACCAACATCAAGTTGTACTGGAATAGTGGCCTTGGTGGTATTTACAAAGAAATTGTTAATTATTTTTATGTGGTTGCATCTATATAGGGCATCATGCATGGACCATGGGACACAATCAGCCTAACAAAACAAATGGGCTATTTAATCATATGGCCTCTTCCATTAAACGGATAAGGTTGAGATATCAACAATCTCCACTTGGATTATTAGAAATGGGATATGTTGAACATGATGGACAAGAGCATGAGAAAAAAATACTCTATTGATATCATTGGAACCACCTACTACAAAGTAATTGTTCTTTATACCACTTCTACAAACTTATTATTAAATACAAATGCTTTGATCTTAGGAGGAATTCTCTATAACTAATGAACTTTATGGCTAATGTTTGTATTATTCTAGATCAACCTTGAGCGTGATAAATATGTCAAACAAGTTAGTGGATCAATCAATCAACATAAGGTGACACTAAATAGTAGCAAAGTTGGACTTATTAGTATAGTATTACTAATAATATATACTAATTTTCAAAATTTTGGTCCATTTTGTAATAAAATTGTAGATAAAAAGTTTAATAGTGGTACTAGAGAATTAGATTTTTTGGAGCAAGTGGTGTTTTCATAATAGATTAGGTATTTGAATAATTAGTGATGGAAAAAAGGATGGTAATCTAAGTTATCTTGTAGAACAATAATTCATTTTATTAAGCACTTAGTACCATCACATATGTATAATTCATTATCATATTGAATAGCTTCTACTAATAATCTTGCACCAAAGATAATATAAGATATTGGAATAGTCTAAGAACTCTTTTATGAATATGATAGAGTCCAATGTTCATTAAACATTTTTTAGTCTTTGATCAATTCAAATACAAGGTTCTAATTCTTTTAGTTTAATATGTCAAAAAAAGATTTTATCCCTTTACATATTCTTAAACTTAAATTTTGGCTTAATCTATTATATAAGAAAAAAAAATTAAAATGTATTAAATTCGTAACATTCTATAACATATTCAAATAAGTCTAATGTTGCAAGTATTGAAGAAATAAATAAAATATTTATTTTATGTATTCATAATTTTTTTAATTATAAATCAAATTAAAAGTATCTTTATTATAAAAAAAAATACATCAAGAAAAAAAAAATGGTTTAGGAATAAAGATCTATATGATTTGATTTGGAAGATTATATATTAGAAGATTCATAGACTATTTGATATAAGATGACGTTAAATTTTGTTATAAATTAAGAAAAAAGGTAGTTCCAAACAAGTTTTTTCAAATATTATTTGGTGGCCTAGTCCATTAAGGCAAATAAAGGCAAATAATAATTATTCTTATTTTTCTTTTTAATAATTTTGATTCTTTTGTATTTGGTTTATATTATTAATTGTCAAAGACATGAATTTTCAAGAAAGAAATCTTTAATATACTCTTGTGTCATTCAAAATAACTAAAAAGTCATTCAAAGATGATATGGTATTAAACTAGAATGGCTATTGCAAAAGACAAGAAGACTAGAAAGTCTTAAAAGAAGACTAAAGACTAGAAAGACACTGACAAGAGTGAAGAAGGCTTCACTCTTAGTTCCATAAATACTCTTAACTAAGAACTATGTGGCATTGATCTATATGACCTCAAAAATGTGTTGACTTTGGAATACACATATCTTAACTTATAATGCAAGTTTTTTATATGTATGCCACATAGTTAACTTATTCTGCAAGTATCACAAATATACATATGTATTCTAGTAAATTTTTATATGATTAGATAGAAATAGATAAAAATAGAAAAAAGTAGATTAATTTCATAATATCTTCTATAGAAGCTTCTTTGAAGCTTATAGATGCTACTTTGACTTAACATATGTTTATAGTTGATTGATAGGCTAAAAACTTGGTCAACAAGTTAACCACATGATGATAGCTTGCAAAACAAGCTAATTATGTGGCACATATATAAAAAACTTTCTTTACAAGTTATGATATGTGTCTTGCAAAGTCAACACATTTTAGAGGTCTTATAGGATATTGCCACATAGTTCCTAATTAAGAGTATATATAGAGGCAAGAGTGAAGCCTTCTTCACTCTTATCAATGCCTTTCTAGTCCTTAGTCTTGTTTCAAGACTTTCTAGTCTTCTTGTTTTTGACAATAGACATTCTAGTTTAATATTATATCATCTTTGAATAACTTTCTAGTTCTCTTCAGTGACACAAGAATATATTGAGGATTTTTTTTTCTTTGAGATTCATATCTTTGACAGTTTGATAACAGTGCTAACTTATTATTCTATCTTATTTTAGAAGTGAGTGGATTATCCTACTTCTATTGTTGTATTTTGAAGGTTTTGGATTACCGACTTTTAAACAAATAATCTTGTTTTCTAACACTACTCTTTTGCTTAAAAAAAGTGGATTATTCTTCTTTGTGGAAATTTTCATTTGATATTAGAGGTTAGAAATTACCTCTTTTAATTTAATTTTTTGAACTTGTTTTAATTGTCTATAGAAAAAAAGATTATGGATGCTACTGTCAATGGAAATGAAAATAGATTTGTAACTATTATTGATCTTCATGAGCTTGCCAATACTTTAAGAATAGAAATCTTATATATTTTCTACATGAATTATAGAGGTACTATTCCTACGCCTATAGAAGGAGTTCAAAGTCTATGGTAAGAAGTTATATACTTGAAAGAAGGAAGTAAATTGACCTCACAACCTAATCCGAGGAATTTTACTTTTATAAGTATGATTGGGATAGGAATTAGTATGCCTCAGAAGTTTGATGGAACAAGATCAAAATTTTGAGGATTATTGCAACAAATTAAGCTCTATCTAAAATTGCATTCCTAATAATAACTTGATGGATTTACTTAAGTCGGATTCATAGATGCACTTTTATCAAGAAGTGGTCTAATTTAGTTTGCACCTTTAATAGAAAAAGATTCGTGACTTGTATACAATTTGGATTTATTCCTAGAAGTGTTTATGACCACATTCAAAGAAAGTGATAAAAAAGAATAGCAGAAACCAAGCTCTTATCTTTGTAGCAAGGATCATAGTCAACCACCATATATGCTGTTGAATTCCAAAACCTTGCTTATGATGTGGATTGGAATGACAAAGCCCTTATCAATTAATTTTAATACGGGTTGAAGGATAATATCAAAGATTTATTACTAATAATATAAAAAGTAGAAACTTTGGAGTAATTTATTGCTCAAGCTATTGCATGTGATAATTGATTATTTGAAAGACATCAAGAACAAAGACTTGGCTAGAGAGAAACAAATCAAATAATAACAACAGCTCCTAAGTTTTTAAAAACTTATTTGTCAAGGCCAAAATCAATGTAAATTTATATGATACATTTTGAACTCCTTACAAAGCAAAAAAAGACTTAATAATGTCAAGAGGACTTATGCTTATATTGTAGAGGAACTAAATACAGTACTCAATATTGTCCAAATAAACAACACAACCACAAAATAAAAAGCATGGTTGCCAAAAAAGATGATATGTCAAAAAACGGATTTCTTCAGCTACAATAGGGATCGTGCGATTAGAATCTTACATAATTCCTAATAAAGATCTTATTTTTTCCTAAGATCCCTTAACTTATTTTACAATAGAAGTTTATTTACGACCAAAAAATCACAAAGTCTTAGCTTTGTTAGATTCAAGAGCCTCAATCTATTTTATAGACAAAGATTTTGTCAAAAAATAAGAGATATTGTTATATTATCTTAATCTAATTTAAAAATAGAGAAGAGGATGAAGTTCATATTTTTCTTGTGTTATAAAAAATTAGAGATGTAGGATTATATATTAAGTAAGAAAAGTGTGTATTCCACACTACTCAAGTTGACTTCTTAGGATACATCATTTCCAACAAAAGATTAATAATGGATCCAAAGAAAGTCTAGACTATCTGTTAAAGTCATAAATTGAAAGAAGATGCATAAACCTAAGAAATTTGTATCAAAAGAAAAGTGACAAAATAGAAATAAAGAAGCATGTATATTAAAAGGAAATTCGAATAGCTATTCCCAAAAGTCAAGGAAACTAGAAACTTTTGAATCTAGACTAGAAGCAAGAAAAAAATTGACAAGAGTGAAGAAGATTTTACTCTTGCCTCTATATATACTATCTACCTAGGATCTATGCGGCCACATTCTATAGTACTTTTATAAATGCATTGACTTTGTATGATACATATCTTGAATTACAAAGCAATTTTTTTATGTAGACGCCACATACTTAGCTTGTTTCGCAAGCTATCAATATATGTGGCTCATAGATAGCTTATTAACTAAGTTTTTAACATATCAATCAACTAAAAACATATATAAAGTCAAAATAACATCTACAAAGCTTTAAGGATGCTTTTCTAGAAGGTATTATGAAATTAATCAACTTTTATCTAATTCTATCTATTTATATTATCTAAATAAAAATTATAGTAGATATATATCCTTAACACTATAATGGATTAGAAGATTTTAAGAATAATAAGATACGTGCAATACTTTTTGAGCTTTGCCAATTATTGTCAAATCTT